AGCAAAACTCTGATGCAGTAAAGATTACTCACAGGTCAACAGATGGTAGGAAACTGATGATAAGAGGTTAAATAGGACACAAGGGCATGGCTTAAAAGAAATGTATGTAAATATTTGCAGTAGTATTATTAATGCGGATTTAAACGTGCATGTCAAAAGTTAAATACGAGCAACAAGCAGCCATCACATATAAATTGCTTCAGCTGTATGTGAGAGGTACAGCTCGAGTGAATCCTGCAGGTCCCAAATACTACAGTGTGTGAAGCAAAATCTTGCTATGTATTATTTAGCAGGATACCATTAGGAAATCACTCACTTGCAAATATAAATACACCGAAGCAGCCATAAGAATCCTACGATTTAAAACAGAATAAAAGCTGTCTCTTTCCCTAAGGGAGACAATTAGCAGAAGCACAATCCTCTGTTTCATCTCAGAAGAATCTCCACTTAATCTCTCTGTATTTTCAGCCAGTTCCTGTGCAGTGGCTTAATTCACATTCTGAGCACAGCAGATCCATTGCTGGCTGGCTTTCTTGTGAAAACTTCAATATGGATCTGGGTTCTTTTGACTGACTTTGTACTCTGGAAGGTCACCTGCAGGTTGAAACCAACAGTGTTCGGAAAAGAAAACCCCAGTTAACTTACATCCATTAGTACATGGCTTTATTCAAAAGTAAGATCCCTGTGGGAGATCCAGCATGGGGCCACTTATAAGTTGACAGTTGAAAAAAAACAGTCTGCTTCTCGATTTTTGGGTCTCGCAGTGCTGTTTTGTTTTAAGTAGCTATTTTGTTGTTTCAATGAACTAAATGAAAGTGCATTCCCTCCATGTCACCTCATGGAGAATAGTCTGGGTCTAAAAAACACTGAGCATCAGGTGCACAGAGATTAAAGTTAAAGTCCCAACTAACCCCCCAAAGCCCCAGATTTGTTTGTGTGTGTGTGTGTGTGTGTGTGTGTGTGTGTGTGTGTGTGTGTGTGTGTGTGTGTGTGTGTGTGTGTTGGGGGGGGGGGTTGTTTTTGTTTTTTGAACTGTGACCTTAAGCAGACATTTATAAACCATTGGATTTTGAGGTAAGCCTTCAAAACCTCCCATAATCCAATACAACATCACCACTTACTTGTATCTGACAGGCCTCTGCAAATTTAGATGACCCCTGCAGGCTTTGCATAGAATTGGGCCCTGATTTGGGGTAATATTTGAGCAGAAGAGCCAATACTTCTTTGATCTAAAAATCTTAAGGGAATGATTGCCAATAGTAAGTGGAGATGCTTGCCAACACAGCACAAATGGTAAAGTTAAAAAAAAAAGAGAGAGAGTACTGTGAAACAGTGCAGATGATGCTGGTGTCACGCTGGGGGAAAAGAACCAGTGCTCAATTCCCCCAAGCTTAGAAGAAACAGATAAAGCCAGTGAAAAGGCTTTATGTCAGACTCTATTAATCCATGGCTGCGCTTAAGAGTTGGCTGTTAAATCATCTGTGAGTGTGCAGTAAGGTAGCTTAGTGCTGATGTTGCACCTCATTCCACAGATGGGAAAACACTGAACCACCATAAGTGAGGCTTCACTTCCCAATTTAAGCCTCAGAAACTACTGAATCCTCCAACTTCAGAAACTACTGTACTGGCAGTCTCAGCCACAGTGCTACTTTTTCCCAAAAGAGTATGTGTATGTGACATAGTGGAGCAGGTAACACGACGGGTGTTTAAATGTTATGATTAGTGTGTCGTCAGCAGAGATGGGCAGTAACGCGTTACTTGTAACCACTTGTAAAGTAAGGGATTACTATTGCAAAAACGGTAATTAGATTACCGTTACTTTCCCGTAGGAACGCTGCGTTACTGCGTTACTAAAACCGTGATTTTTTTGCAAGAATATCTCATGACAGTGACGTAAGTGCCAAGTTCGTGACAACAGCTGTGTGCAGATCAACAATGGATAATATATTGAGTAGAGGGAGATTATGAGCATGTAGCGTTTAAAGCATGGAAGTACTGACCTTACTTTAAGTTTGATTCCATAAAAAGTGACAAAAACATTAGTGTCCATTGTGCGTGGGAAGAAAACTTCTTTTTACAGCGAAAAAAAAACCCCTAAACTTCCGAGCAAGCACCGAGCGCGCTACGACATAATGGGAAATTCACAGAGAAACTCGCAGATTCTTCAACTGACCGCTGCGGCACACCTGCACCGGCTTTACAGGTGAAAACAGAGCAAATAGACCGCTAGTCTTTGACTTTATTTATTTTCTGCTGTGTTTTACTTGCATCTATTTGAAAGAGTGAGTGGGTTAAATATTAAACAAATTTCTTCCAGTCAGTGAATGTTGCATATAATTATATTTTTGCCTGATGCATAAAGTTAAAAGATTAAAATTAATAAAACAAGTTTTAAAAAGGAACTTTTCCATTTGATTACATTTTGTATGATGGATTATGCAGAAAAAGTAGAATTGGGCTGAAAGATCTATCGCTTTATCACCTATTCAGGTTGTAAATCGTGTTTTTAAAAAGTAACTAAGTAATTAATTACTTTTGAAAATAAGTAATCAGTAAAGTAACGGGATTACTTTTTTGGGAAAGTAATCCGTAATTAGTTACTGATTACTTTTTTCAAGTAACTGTAGCCTGCATACTTTGTCTTGCTATGCAAGATGCATACAAACATACATGCAGGTTTAAAAAATAAAGCTCAGATTAGAAGTCTGTTGCTGGTCTTCATTTCATTAGCATTGTGCCTGTGGATGCAAGTGCTTTCAGTTTGTCTACGCTTAAACATCTCATCTATCTTATTTTACTGTTTTGCAGAAGCAGTAAAAGTACTTTGTGTGTCATAATTGGCAGTAGGGTTGTCAAATTACCAGAATTTCAGACGTGATACAGACTTCAACTGATAAAACACCCACAAACCCACACACACATGTGCAATAAGACTAAGTGCAACACTCTTTTCTGACAAAGCTGTGTTTTTACTCAGTTGTATATAGAATTTGTCTTCTATTTTTATTCTATTGTATATTTTATTCTATTTTATTCGACTGTATATAGTATTTTATGTTATTCTATTCTATTCTGTACAGTTGTGTACAGTATTTTAATTTTATTGTATTCTAATTTTTGCTATATAACTTTTGCACTGTCCACCTCCTGCTGTGACAAAACAAATTTCCCACGTGTAGGACTAATAAAGGTTATCTTATCTTATCTTATCTTATCTTATACCAGGAAAATACTCCACACCATTTTCAATACCACAAAGAAGCTTCTTACCCCATCCTGCAACAACGTAAGTAATAGCTCTAAAAAGTCATTTATTTTTTAACTAATTTTCCCAAATATAAGTTAGATTTATCTAAATAAGTATTAAAGTTTATTCGTTTTACAAATAACTTCAATAATTTCAATACAGATCCCGAAGGTATATTTTAAAATCTACTGATAAACAAAGGGTACAACAAACATTACCTGACACATCTAAATAATTTCATTATTGTAGACAAGAGCATAATGGAAAAGTTACAGATCAACTTTGGATAAGAAAATATAAAAAACAACGCTCAGAGTGAAAGATTAAACCAGTCACTGAACACATTTTAAAACGGGCCTCAGTGCTTGCTACAATTTAATAAGAAACACTGTTTAAAAAACAAAACATTGGAAAAGTAGAAAAGTTTATTGTCTTGTCCACATCTGCCTGCAGCCTGTCTCTCATCCAGCATTCACATTGCTCTGCCTCACTCTGCAGCTCTTTACAGGCTTGGCTCTGTTCTTCAGGCCTGATTTAGCTGCTCTGCTCCAGAGTTCGCTCTTTATCTGCTCGGATTAGCTCTTCACACTGGACTCTCTGGTCAGCTCAGCTATGGTTCCTCCACTATTCTGCACAGCCTCCAATCCACCAGGTTCTCCATGGCTCAATAGTCCATCGCGCCCCGGAGTCTCCTAGCCGCTATGCTAACGATAACAGTTTGCTAATGTAAGAGCTAATAGCTAAACAGCATATGTTAGGATGTGCGCCAGCTAGGTTAACCTTTACAATAACTGTTTGATACTTCAGTGTTGTTGAAACTTTCCAGAGATTTTGTGACATTTTTAACTTCCTGCTAAAGTGCTGTTAAACATTAATTACGCAATCTTTAGTGACAACAGGAGCCAACCCAGATAGCAAGGAGACATTGAACAGATGTTGATTTTCTATCTGAACCATCAGAATCGTCAGGATTGAAATGTCAACACAAAACCAATGTTGAAACAACATTGAAATACTGATGAAACCTGACACTGACATTGAAATAACATTGATTCACTGTTGTTCTGTCATCGTTGATTGTTGATCTATTTATAGTTGACAAGGTGACAACAATCACGTTGAAAAACCATCGATTTTTGGTTGAGCGGGAAATTAAAGCTGCTACCACTTGAACTATTCCATAGCACCCCCTCTCACATTGGTACATCTCTCCAGGTAACCATTGTCTTGTACAGTAGAGCAGGACATTAGATTTACTCTCAGCGGAATTGACCGGAGAAGGCATCAGTTCATGCACTGCACTGGCCTGCCACGATTAGTATAAGGTAAGAATGAAGGACTTTTGTTCTATTCGTTATTTCCACGGTTGCATTTGAATAACAGTAAAAAAAACTTGTTAATGTAAAGTTTCGGACAAAATGTGGGAGCCCGAAATTGCGTCTACTTTCATCTTACAATCCGGCAACAAATAAATTGCACTGCGAACAAAGTCTATCAACAAAGAAAACATTTTAGTTTCGTACTTTTCCATTATATTCCCTTATATAACCTAGCCTAACGCTTTGAGGGTTCCTTTGTTTGTTCACCTAACTTGACTCAGCACGCTCACCTAACTTTACGTTGCACGCTCACCTACCTTGCGTTTGCACCTTTTGTCCACACGTAAACTGCGTTTTATTATTTATTTGTTTTTCGCCTCTCACTGCTTAAGCCATTAATCTTTCTAGAATTGTTTTTTTAAACAGATGCGACCTCACAAAAGCTATTAACTATGCTGTCAGACCTGATGAGAGCTGTTAACGAACTCCGTGAGGAGGTCAGAGCCATCCGCCATCCCTGCTGCAATGAATCGGTAGATGCTGGGGTACTGCCTCTGGATTTGCCCTTGCACAACATTGAGGAGCTAAACACTGCAGAGGCAGCTCTTCAATCACAAGAGGCAAATAAGGCAATGGTAAGTATATAAAGGTTATGTACACTTTGTAACTATAAAGTGTAATAGCTGTCAGATGTGATTTAAATACATAACAACGGCTTGTTGATTAAACACACAAGCACTTGCATACACATTTGAGACATGAGACACGCTAATTCCATCTCTTAAAATGTGTCTATAGGTGAGACGCTTTGCCTTGATTGGAGGGACCACACTGGAGGTGCAAGTCCGCCCATTACACGGCGGACTCGGTACTAAACTGGGCAGGTAAAAAAAACAAGGACCAGACAAAGCAAAAAATGTCATTTAAAGATACAGCGCTCTGCAAATGCATATTTGGTAAGTTTTACCGTTTTTTTGCTATATTACTTTGTCTTTCTTAATAACAAGACTTTCATGTCCGGTTAATCTGGAGATGGAGTCTTTGGTCTTTGGCTTGTTTAGTCCACGGGTTGTAGTTTGTACAGCCTGAGGACCCCATGTTTATTTTGTTTTAAAGGATACACAGCACACCATGCTAAGACTTATCACTTTTTCCGCTCATAGCTCTTTGGGAATCAAATGCGGCAGTTTGCAGATTTACGCCTGGTGACTTTCATGTTTAGGAGTTTACATACTTTCTCCCCGCTGAAGACAGTTAACAAGAGCTTATTCATGTGCTCTAATTCACTTTTTTGTTTGTGTGTGTGTGTATTTTTGTCCTAGATGGCCTGACGCAGCAGTTAGGGGAAAACTCTATGTCCGAGTTTGTCTTTGCACAAGCAGTGCAGAAATGGTTCCGATACGCCCCAGATCGTTTGGGTGGTGCAGGACGCACATCATGCATCCTTATCCCGGAGTAAAAAATTACAAACTTCTGTGAAACATGTAAATGTAAATAGGAAACTGTCTTTTAATAAAGTATTTAGCAAACGAAACATGGCCTACTGACCTTTTTTTTTTTTTTTTCCTTCTCTGTTACATCACATGCAATGCTTTCTTATTTTAGGATATTAATATTGACATGATACATTGTGAGACATTTGTTTTTTTTCTATAAAGGTTGTCCAATTTGAGGAATAAGTACAATTATGTGTTTAGGTGGTTTAAGTATTGATGGAAACATGCAGTAGTTTAGTATTGGTTAAAACACCTATAAAGAAAGGTAGATTTCCAGTCATGATTTAACTGTTGTTTTTGTCTTAATCAAACAAAATCTAAATATTAGATCTAATAGAACCCTGTGACAGACGGGCGACCTGTCCAGGGTGTACCCTGCCTTGTGAAAGGCAGGGTACTAAGACAGCAGAGATAGGCTCCAGCATATCCCCACCCTGAAAAGGATAAGCGGAAGAGAATGGATGTGTGGATGGACAGTTAGTTAATAGACTACTTCCAGCTACATAAAATATATATTCTATTTATAAAACAAAACTGTCAGATGGACCAAGAGATAGATAGCAAGCTTTCAGATTGTTTATTGCAAACACAAAAGGATCTTTTCACAGAGCCAAAGCTCAACGACAGGTGTACGGACAGGTAAGTAGGACTGGAGCAGGTAAGAAATTCTGCCAAAGAGGAGAACAGAGGTTAGTAAACATTAGGGGATTCTCCATCAATCAATATATTACACTGCAGTGTTAAATTATAGTTCTACAGGCACCAAGGGGGGTAAGAAGGCAAGCCACAGGGGTTCCAGGCGCTAAGCAGGTGAGTGTGTGGTGAACAGTGGGCAGACAGGTAAGTGGAACTATCGTCCTTCACAGGTAATACAAACTTTGGAGTCCAGGTAAGTAGTTGGAGAAGAATTTTCTCTGTTGCAGACAATGACCAGCTTGAAAGTCAGGTGAGTGGTTACAAGTAGATAGATGCAGATGGGCTGGGGCCCGGGCCCGGCCTCGGGGGCTTGGGTCCTGGTTGGTGTGTTGCCGGGGTTGTGGGCGGGTGGGTGCATGGGGGCCCAGCCCTGGAGCAGGGTGCCGCCGGTGCATCGAGCCACCTGGGGGGCTCTTCAACTGGTGGGGGAGATTGTCACATCTTGCAGGAGCTTTCCTCTCTCAGGAACTCTCTCTGCAGGAGGGGGAGATACAGGAGAGGTGGAGGAAGATCTCAGCCTGGGTGTTTATTGTCTTATGTAGTCTGGAAGATGAGTGGATGGTGGGGTGGGTGCAGTTTTCTCTGTGGTGGGGTTGGGTGGACTGTCCCGGGCTCTGTGGGGCCGGGGGCGCTGCTGCACTGGGCCCCGGTCTGGATGGGCCTGGGCCCCCTTTCCCTGGCGGGTCGCGGAGTATGGGGGTGCCTACTGGGGTCAGCGGGGGAGCTGGCCCCAGGGAGGGGTCACCTGCCCCTCCCTTCCTTCCCTCCCCATCTCCAGCTGCCTCCCTCTTCCCGCTCCACCACAACCACCCACACATGCAGGACCTTGGAGTAGGGGTATGTCACCAGGGTGCAGAGGAGGCTACCCCCCCCCTCTGTCCCCTTCTGGCTGCCTCTGCCTCAATTTTATCCCACAACTTAGACATTCACATTACTCACACTCTCATTACACATACATATAGGATCTTGGGGGTGGGCACGATACACGGAGTCCAAAGTACCATCAGGGTGTACACCTCACCCCTGGCGTCGTTGCCCACCTCTCAATTTTAAATACACGTAGACATTGAGGGCTAGCAGGAGGGACCTATGCGCTTACCTGCTGCTCTCTGGCAGGTAGCTCCATGCCCTCCTGGGTTTTAAATGCACCTTAGAACACACATGCATCAACACTACAATGAGCGGGTGGAGGGAGGTTTGGAGTCTTCTCTCACCCCCATTCTCTGCGGACCTGCTGGAGCGGGGGGGCTAGGAGGAGGAGTTGGCCGTCCGACTGCGGTCTGGAGTGTGGGGCCTCCCTGCTGCTGCGGAGTCGGGGCGGTCTGCCTCCCCCCACCGCAGGGAAAAGGGTAACACCACCTGGGTCTGGGTGCAGTTCCCCCCTCCAGGGGCAAGGGTACCTAGACCCGGTTGTAGAGTACGCTTGGGGAGTGTGATCGTGTGTACAGCGTCTCTTTATGTCTGTCTCCACGTTGGTTGAGTGTGGAGTAAGTGCATATGAGAGCATGAGGGTGGGAATGGATGTTTGTATCTGTGTGTGCCTGTATGTCTGTGTCTATATGTCAGGTTGGGTGTCAGACGCCACCTCTCTGGGGACATCTCAGGCCCTCCAAGGTTTGGAGGCCTATCTCCACCCCACCACCACTTCCCCTGCCAGTGGCGGACTCGGGCCACTTCGGAGGTGGGGTGCCCCCGGCCTCTCGGCCTGGGGCTCGGTCACTCAGGCACGGCTGGCTGCCGGCGGAGCTCACGGGCGCGTCACTGCAACTCCCCCTGGCTTCTGCTCCGGGCTGCTGAGTGAGCCCTCATCTGGGACTCTCCTCAGCTCTTTCTGGGACAGTGGCGCGGCTGCCCCTCTGTTGGTCTTCCTTGGTCTCTTGTGTTCTGGGGGCCTCTGGATGTCTGGAGTGACTCTCTGAGCCCTGGGACGTGTGGCCCCCCCACACCCTCTAGCAGATCTATTACATGAAGGAACCTTTTAAAAAAACAAGCGCGTCCATGCTCACAGGTGTACACACGGGTGATCACACCCACAAACTACACCCTTTTTGGCTCCTACCTCAAAGCACACTGTGTTCTGTTGATCTTATGTGCTGCACAATAATGTTTAATATTTAGTATTTACTGTCATATTCCCATATATCATTGTGATGTTGTTTATTCTATTACTCTTGTTCTCTTCTGCTTGTTTTCTTTTTTCTTTCTCAGCAGGTGATCCAGGTGATTGATATATGCATTTTTTTTCTGCCCTTCTGTTGGTTTTTGTCTTTTGCCCTTCTCCCCCGTCCCTCTTCTCAGCTGTTTCTCTTTCCCTCTTTCTTTCTCCCCTTCTTTCCCCCAGTCAAGTCTGTCCCGTATTCAGTAAGTGAAAATAAAATAAACAATAAAAGGTGAATCAAATGGACCATTACGGCAAGGCTGGGATGGTCAATTTGGTAAAGTAAATCCGTTGGGCATCTTTCTTTGCCTTTAGACAACAATTCTGATGGCAAAAGAGCCAAACGGGACAGGCAAAAGAAAAAGAAAAAAAAAAGAGATAGATGCAGATGAACAAGTACAGAGAGTAAAGAATCCAAAAATTAAAACAAAAAAAGGTATAATTACCACCACAAGGACAGCAGCAATCTGGCAGAGAGTAGGTGCTCAAGCCGATGTCCTTAATTACTGTGGCTGATGAGTAAGTGGCAACAGGTGTGACAGCAGGAGCCCAGCAACAGAAGGGAGTGAGCACAGAGCAAGCCCAGCTCTCCATCTGAGAGACAGAATTTTTTTTGGCCTGTATTTGTATAGCGCTTTACTAGTCCCTAAGGACCCCAAAGCGCTTTACACAACCAGTCATTCACCCATTCACACACACATTCACACACTGGTGATGGCAAGCTACATTGTAGCCATTGCCACCCTGGGGCGCACTGTCATTTCCCAAAAAAATAATTTAACACAGTATAGTTAAGTTGCATACTGAGCTTAAAGGCTTGAAACAAAGTTTTCCTCCTATCACTGTAGTATCAATACTAAAACCAGCATTGGTATTGTGTATATTTACTGTTCATTTCGTTATATAGTTCAATTAATGGAAACAAAGAGGTAACAAGGTTAAACCACTGGTTACCTTCAAGAACAAGAAGGCCAATTAGACTTTGTTAGAAAACATTTAAAATAATCTGAACAGTCCTAAAAATGATTTTTGGACAGATGAAACCAAGATTAACTTGTACCAGAAGGATGGGACGGGATTAATTTGAACCCTCTGAAAATGTAGGACTGTGTATAAAACTGCACACTGTATGTGTTAGAGAACAGAGGATTTAACCAACTGAAAATTGTGAAAGCTGGTCCCTGCATGTCACAAGTTAAATTCTTCACTGAAGAGCCTTCAGCACAGTAAAATGACTCAAGTCGGATTTTTACCTCTAAACGGATATTTCACACCGTGGTCACCACAAGAGGAAAGTGTCTCCCAGCATAACAGAAAGCCTCCGTGCAAGAATGAATCGAGCACAATTAGAATTCATAACTGGGAGTCTTTCAACAGAAACTTCACGTTCCACTCATCTGAATGAAAATTTATATATTTAAGAATCAATACAAATTTCTCTCACAGGTGCATACTCTGCCCCAAGACTCTATGAATACATAATTGGGAAGAAACCTGCTCATAAATTAACAGATAAATGATCTATATTACACTGGCATTTGTGTGCTTTTGAGAAAAGGATCTGTCCCTGTTTGTCTGTCAGTAAAAACACAATTCGTGTCTCTATTTGAAACTTGGTGAGGACGCATGAATAATTCATAGCTTTAACAATAAAACATCAGCCCATGTGACAATGTGCTGATTTCCTCCAGCACTTATCATCTCAAAGGACTGTATGGTAGGCATAGTCAAGTAAGTGAATGTATAATTCTATTAAACTGGGAAGTAATATATGAACTCATTACACATAAACGAGCTTTGTGCCATACCTATCAAAATGCATGCCACTGCAACACTATCACATGCACATACAAATGAAAATATCTGCATGCCAGCTGTGTATTGAGGAATTTCTCCAGTAGGCGAGCATAAGTGTTGGTGATAAATGTGAATCACTCTGTGCAGATATTTTAAGTTCTGTAAGGGG